AAGTATAGTAAGATGGAGCAGTAGACAGAATAGTTTCTCCTGCTTTATCCCCACCTCAACATTGTTTTGGCTACTCTAGTTGATTTATTTTACTTTACTGCATATTCTTTTAAAGTGTTCTGCATATTAATGATAGTCTGAGAAAAACAGAAAAAAACATGAAGGATAAAAATATGTAATATACTACCAACACCCTAAAATACTACTCATGCAATTTGTATCCATCTATCCTTGAATGAAGTCCCAATTTCTCCATGAAAGGTTCTTTACTATTCTGGGTCATATCTAACTGTAATAGCTCATTAGCCACAAGTCGTTTTATCATTCTGTTAGATATTAGTAAACATATTTAGTGTTCAATAGAATGTCAATTCATTAAGGGACAGGGTCCCTGTTTCAGACTGTTTTATGTTCATAAGTTACAATAAACACTGAATCAATTTATTGAAAATTATTTATCTAAATGGAGGTTACAACAGAGAGATCCTAGAAAATCTAGAAGAAGTGTAAAAAATAAGAGCTTCTTATTCTCCACTGTTCCCAGTACTAGGATTATTAGCTCAACAATATCAAGATTTTTAAATTTACTCACTTCAGAATTAAATTGTTAAAGAGTATGTACTTCTAGGTTCTTTTTCCCCTTCTTGTTTTAGTCAGCTATTTCACCACTGTGACTAAAAGACCCGACCAGCACAATTATAGAGGGGGGAAAGTTTATTTTGGGTTTCACAGTTTCAGAGGTCCAGAGACAGCAAGCACCATTCCTCAGGGCTCAAGGTGAAGCAGGACATTATGGTAGAAGAGTGTGGCAGAGGGAAGCAGTTCACATAATGATCACAAAGCAGAGATAGGGACTCCACTCTCCAAATACAAATATATACCCCATATCCCCTCCAATGAACCACTTCCTCCAAACACATCCCACCTGTCTCCACTCAATCCCATGAGGGACTATTTCACTGATTAGGTTAAGCATATAACCCAATCTTACTGTCTCACATATGGGCTTTTAGGGGACACCACATCTAAACCGTAATACTTCTCTTGATGGAGTGGCTTAGGTAAAGAAAAAAAAATAGTGAATGATGAGTTATGGTGATTACCTTTTCATCTCCTGATGTTTGCCAACACTATTACAACTCATTTAAATGTTAGGACTATTAAACATGTTTCACCCTAAACATACAGTTCAGATATACTCAACAGTAAATGGTACAAGCTGCAATTGGGGTTCAGCAGTAGAGTGTTTGCCTAGCTCGTATGAGACACTGGGTTCAATACTCAGCATCACATAAAATAAATAAATAAATAAAAGTATTATGTTCATCTACAACTAAAAAATAAAAATTAAAAAATTTAAAGTAAATGGCACAAAAGATTAGAATATTGATTTAAGCAAATATTAGGAAATCAGAGTATAAAATGGGTCATTAAAATTGTAAAGAATTGAGCAGTCCGATTCCCTATGGTCCTAACACACCAACTACAGGGGGTGTTTGTGCCCTTTTGGCTACCTTACTGAGAGTATTTTCCTCTTAATTATCAATGCTTTGCTGACAAGACTTCAACAAAGTATGGTGTACAATATGTAAAATAAGATGTTTATATTTTAGCTCTAATTTACAATAGCCATAACCTGCCTAACCCATGCATCAAGTCCTTCCTCCTTTGCTAAAACAGATGTACAGTGTGTATGTGTGTGCGTGCGCTACGTGCATGTATAAACAGAAAGAGATATGTCCTCTCCCCAAAAGATTATTTTTCCATTGACTGCCTATGAGTTTAGACTGTTAATAATTTGCAACATACAATCATAATAACTATAGTAACATTACATGCTAATGAATTCCTTCTTCTCTTGCAAAATAACAATTTATATATTCTACCATAACAACTTTGCTAAAATTTTGTTCCTCTTTGATTCTTTCCCTATACTATGAGACTACTAGACAGGGAAAGTTATAATCAGGGAAGCTGCAAAGCCATTAGACACACCTTTCATCTGGTGTGTCTCTAATGTTCTCAGAAGAGATCTTTGTCAAGTCCTCTTCTGATCCTGTGGCAACTAAGTAAATGAACTGCAATTCTCCAAAAATACACATTAAATAAACTTCTTTTCAGCTCTGCCCATTTCACTTCAATGCTTTATTAAAGGGAATACAATACTCACAATGTACTTACTATACTACTACAAACCCCATCATGGACACAACCATTCCCACCACACACACACACACACACACATACAGAGAGAGAGAGAGAGAGAGAGAGAGAGAGAGAGAGAGGGAAACTCTCTTCTCCATTAGTAAAAATTAAGAAACCTCAATGATTCTAGTGTCATAAGAACATGGAGTAACGTGAACTCAGACACTGCTTGTGACAGTGTAAACTGGTATAACCACTTTAGAAAACAATTTGATATTATCTTCTAAAGATGAACATGTGCACACCATAATTATACTCCTATCTATACCCTCAAGACATGTACACCAAGACATACAAACATATTCATAGCAGCCCTTTTCATAACACCAAAAAAATGCAAACATCCCAATGCTGATTAAAAGAAGACTGTGGTATATTCACCCAATGGAATTTCACACACCAGTGAAAAATAAATGAAATACAGTTAAATATACAACATGAATGAGTCTCAGAAACAGTAATGAATTTTAAAAGTTATAGAAAACCATAAGTAATTAACTATCATATTTGACAATTTCAAAGAATATGGGCAAAATTAAACATGCTATTGTTTAGAGAAATATCTATGTAACTTTAAGAAAAAAAATAGTAGATAGAGATCAGAGAGAGACTGGAAAATACACATGTATCATCAACAGAATTGGCAAAGTTGTAGTTATTAAGTTGGATAGTAGACTTGTTAGTTTCATTATTAAGCTTTAAACCATATGCATACATACATCTGTGTGTGTGTGTGTGTGTGTGTGTGTGTGTGTGTGTGTTCTGAGTGTTTATCACCTACAATCTCTGGAGAAGTAACATTCCAGCTACCAGATAAGTTTTAGTGCAATCATAAGGTGACATTCCTGATAATTAGGAACAATGTTAAGAAATACAATCACTTGAAGCCAGGCGCAGCGGCATAACCAATAATCCCAGTGACTCAGGTGGCTGAGGCAGGAGGATCACAAGTTCAAAGCCAGCATCAACAACTTAGTGAGGCCCTAAGAAACCTTAGCAAGACCCTGTCTCAAAAATTTAAAAAGGCCAGGGAAGTGGCTCAGTACCAAAAGAAAAGAAATACAATCACTTTATTATGCTATTTGGCAACTTTTATAGTAAGAAAGTGACAGGTGTTTCTCATAAAATATTAAGCAAGGGAGTGGGCAAGGGAAGTGGGTGAAGCTAAAAAAAGAAACAGGAGAGAGACTTATAGTAATGAAAGTGTATCTTAATTATATTAGTCTGTATCTTGATTGTATCAATGTCAATATCCTGCTTGTAGAATTATACTACAGTTGCACTAGACATTACCATTGATTAAACTAAAGGAGGGGCTATGCTGGCATTCTAGGGTGGCACCCCCAGCCTCTACTTGCCCGCATTTGTGATAACCAAAAGTTTTGTCATAGATTGTCAAATGCTCCCTTTGAGGCTAAATTGAGAACCACTGTTTCAGTCAGGAAAGCCAAGAAGAGTTATGGAAATAATCCTGATTGAAGGACACTGAAGAGACATCACAACTAAATGCAATACTTGACCCTAATCTGGATCCTGTATTGGAGCATAAAGAATGTTAAAAAGACATTATTAGGTCAATTTTTAAAAATGAAATATAAACTGTAGATTAAATAAAAGTATTTTATAAATATTAAGTGTACCCTGGCTGAGGCTGTGGCTCAGTGGAAGAGAGTTCACCTAGCACATGAGAGGCACTGGGTTGAATCCTCAGCACCCCATAAAAATCAATAAATAAAATAAAGATATCTACAACAAAAACAAATATTTAAAAAATATTAAATGTACCCCAATTCACAACTACTGCTGTAGTTATATAAAAGAATTATCTCTAAGCTTAGGAAATAGACACTTGAGTTTTTAGGGGTAAAGGACCATGATATATGCAATCTAACTTCAAATAATTCAGAAAAAAATAAAAATAAAATAAAAAAATATATATATATACACACACACACATACACACACACACACACACACACACACATCCACAATGAGTAGTGTGTGTGGTAGGTGAATCTAATAAATGGTCATACAAGTATGTTCTTTGTACTATTTTCATTCTTGCAACTTTCTCCTTCGTTTGAAATTAATTACAAATCAAAAGACGTGGGTTGTTGGGCGGGGGGTGTAGCTCAGCAATACAGCACTTATGCATTATCACCAGTACCCCCGCGCGCGCGCACACACATGGTACAGGCTGTTTTTAAGTGGGAAAAAAAACATGTTTAAAAAAAAAAAACTAGTGATAGTTTTCACAGTAACAGTCCAGCATGAGTGATAAAAACCCCAAGAAGTATATGACTACAGACTGAATAAATATGTATTCAAGCCTGGACATTCGATGGAAAGAAGTGTCTATTTCCAGTCTTTCTCTGTCCCTCCCTTCTGGGGGTGACCCAATGAAGAGTGCGGAACTGAAAATTAATCTATCCCACTTTTAAAATAGTAAAGTGACTCAATAAATTACATGCATGCTCAATTTCTCCACAAATCACTGTAGCATCTTCTCCATCAACAACTCAAACAGCAAAATCGCAAAGAACATAACAAGAGTTTCTCATAAGAAAACCATTCATCTACTCAGCTGGGTTAATGGAGAAAGAATGTTAAAGTGGACAAAAAGAAAGACCGTTTATTTATAAAGAAGAAAAGAAATTAAGTAATGTCTAGAAGAACCGAGAGAAAGAAAAGATAAAGACTGGCAGGAAGCAGCCTCAGCGAGTTAGGAAGGGTGTTTGGCCAAGAAACAGAACTTGAATGGGTGCGCGCGGGGTCAGCGGGACTGGGGTCCTCACCTGGCAGTGGTAAGCAGAGGGTGCTGAGTTCCCACCAGCTTCCGCACCTGCATTGCGATGTTGCTGAGCTCGTCGCTCAGCAGGCAGCGGAGGCTCATGAAGGATGTGGGATAGCCCACGATCTTCTCAGCCTCTGACACCACCTGGTTCCAGTGGGCTGGGGACCTGGAGGACTGACCACGCCAGGGTCCCACCGGGGAGATAGTGTCGAGGGATGGGAACCGCCACAGGCGACGTGGGGGGCCCAAGGCCCCCAGATAACCCGGAAAGCGCAACAACAGACGTTGAAGGTTCATGGTTAGAGTCTGGAACAGTTAGGGACCTGGGGGGTGTCCGGAGGTGGCGGGGGAAACCAAGCAGGGGCTGAGGAGGAACTTCCAGGAACTAAAAAAAAAAAAAAAAAAACATCGGTGGCTCCCGTCTCTCAAAGGAGAGTGGCTTCCTTAGAGCCGTGACCAGAAACGACCTTTGCTGCTTTCTACAGCTCGAGTAGGATAGACAGCAGCCCCGGCTCAAAACTGACCCCGGCTACCGGGAGCAGAAACCACAACCAAAGTCTATGTGGGGGGCGCCATATTGGAGGCGTGGAATGCGGCCTGCCGTAAAGATGGAGGCGGGCTCTTGAGGAGCAAAGAATGTCCCCTACTTTACGGCGCAGCCGGGAACGCCCCCATAGGCGGAGTTTTGGAAGCGAGCCCTGGGAGGCCGCGGGTGGAATGAAAACCTCTGCTCTCCTTGGCTTAGGAGGATCCCGTGGCAGGAATTGTGTGTGTGCACAGAGAGGGTCCCCGGCGCCTCGAATCTGGGTCCAGTCGGGATTCATCAGGGCGTCCCGGCGCCCAGCACCGAGTGGGCATGTATGTTTGTCCTGAGAGTTGGGTGTCTGTCTAGTGTCTACCCCTGCCCCGTCTCGCCCGCAAGGAAGAGTGTCAGGCCCAGGCGCCGGCTCCTCCCGAAGCCGTTGGTTGCTGTCCGCCGCCAGCCCTTGGTAGTGGCAGTGGAGCGGAGTGAGGGCAGCCTGGCTGCCTGTACCTCAGGCTGCCATGGCTCTCCGGTGGAAGGCCAAGTCCGGCCGTAGGACTCCGCCCACGTGTCCTCTACGCCCTACCAGACTGAAAGTGGCGCAGCGCAGCGAAAAGAGTACCTTTCCCTTAGGGACGTCCTCTGAGAGTCGTTGGAATCACCCGCCTCATCTCTGCATCCGTTTCCGCTGATGTGCAGTCCAGGCAGAATCAGCTGTGCCTCCTTCGTACGGGCGCAGAGAGGTTGGAATGAAACGTTGCCTCCTCCCAGCTTTCACCTCTGTGGTTTCCTCTTCATTCCTAGCCTCGGAACTCCACTCTCCATCCAGGGTTCAAACCGTATCGCTGGACCGAGTGCTTTTCACATATCAGCACAAAACAGCCTCGTTAAGTAGATATTAGTATTCTTCGTGTTTTATAAGAAGAAACTCAGGCACAGCTAAATTGTGTTAGGTTTACAAACATGCTAGGCAGAATATGGACCCAGAGAGTCTATTTCTTTTTTAATACATACTCTTAACCTTACTCTTATGTAAAAGACTGCAATCCATTTTTTCCTCATCATTGTTGATGGAAAGTTGTCAATGTGAATATTGTTTTAGTAGTGCTACCTATTATTTTCTTTAGTATGTGCAACATTTTACCCTCTTCCTCATCACCCAAAACAAGTGTTAAACCCTTATTGCATTACCTAGTTTTTACACTCATATATTTATAGCTTCTAAAATTCTCTTCTAAATCTTCCCAAATTCATGATTAATATTTTTTAAATTTGAACCATGCATAGATTTTTGGGCTACATATAAAAATTGGAACTTAGAAAAATGTCAAATTAAGAGGAATTGTTCAGTTTGTAAATAAGATACTTTACAAAAAGTTTGAGTCCTTTTTAATAACAAATTTCCCTTATGACTCAAATTTACAAAAATTTAATTTAGGTATGACTTTTTAGGGGTACAGATTATTTAAAGTGGATTATGCTGAAAGATGTCAAAAACAGTTTCTGTCCTCAAAATAAGTGAAGTATGCTGAAGTTTGAAAATAATTCCTGTGAAAGAGATAAACTCCTGGCAATAAAATACAAGTCTGCTGCTAGATGAAAATAAATGTGGTGATTGAGATACTGGACCATTTCAAAAGGTTCCAAGGCCTGAGCTGGGTTATCCAAGGTGAAAAAAGTCATGAAAACCCAAAGAAAGATAAAGACTGAATGTGATATACTGTGCACTCAAGGCTGTTTCTTCAGAATCATGGTACCTTAAGAGCAACTTTTAAGCAATTTCCTTAATACCAATTCACAGCATGTACTTTAACTTCTCCACAGAAACCAAGGGCATTATTCTCTGGTCATACTCTATTAACCAAGTTTTTGATTATTCATGGGACTTTTGGTCCCATTTACTTTAAATAATCAACACTTTCTTTTATACTTACAGTTAAAATGTTGCATTATGATTATCAGGGTTTAGAAGGTCAAAATGTATTTGTTCTTTAATCTTCCAGGTAAATATATAATTCTTTCAAGTCTTTATGATTAAAGAGATTTCCAAATTGCTAGTGACTTTAGGAGGAGCAGGGGGACAGTATCTGGGATTCTTCCCTTCCTCTGCCATTGATAATAGCTACTTTAAAGATGTCTGTGGGCTAGGATTGTGGCTCAGCAGTAGAGCGCTCTTCTAGCACGTGCAAAGCCCAGGGTTCAATCCTCAGCACCACATAAAAATAGATAGAATGAAGATATTATATCCAACTACTTCTAAAAAATAAATGTTTTTAAAAAGGTGTCTGTGAATGTGTGCATGAAGTAAGAATACAGCAGGGTTTCTTTTTTAAATAACTTTATTTTAATTTTTATGTGGTGCTGAAGATTGAACCCAGTGCCTCACACATGCTAGGCAAGCCCTCTACCACTGAGCCACAACCCTAGCCCCCCCAGCAGGGTTTCCTGACCTAAGTATGTTTGATATTTTGGACCAGATTATTCTTTATTTGGTGTGAGGAGGGATGTTCGTATTATTGTATAACAGCATCATTGACCTCTCTGCACTGGTTTCCAAAAGTATCCCTTCAAAATTGTGATAACCAAAAACCCTCCAGACATTGCCAAATATCTATCACCTGGGACAGGGCAAAATAGCCCACTGGAAAATGCAAACGCTAGAAGAAAAAACAATGTTCAATGATAGAATGCATATCTAGCATGCATAAAGCCCTAGGTTCAATCTCCAGCAGAAACAGAGGAAGGGAAGGAGGGAAAAAGTGAGGGAGAAAAGAAAAAATGTCCATTCATAACATTTTCTCCTACAAAGCATCAAAAGAAGAGAACCTGAGAGTTAGCAGCTCTGCAAGATTATGGTCATTCCATATCCAGCCATACATATCAACACTCTTGATATTGATATTCTTCTAGAGAAAGTAATCTGACAAAAGGTGGTCATGGTTCCTCCTCCGCTTTGCTGAGGAATCTTTCTCAATAAGTGGATTTCACTTACCTGCCTCTTTGTATTCTGTTGACTTTAGAAAGAAGTGAAGTCATGTTTGATGTTGACTGGAAACCCAGACCAACCTATGGAAATACAAGGTCTTAACAAGGATAGTGATACTGTGATTGGCCACTTACTTGGTTGGTGGGCTATAAGGAACAGGAATGGCACATATTGCCATTGAGAAAGAAAAATGGTACACAGCACCCATGGAAAGGAACTTGATAATCACTAACAAAATTACCCATCATTTTGCCTTTTAAAATTTTTTTTAGTTGCAGTTGGACACAATACCTTTATTTTATTTTTATGTGGTGCTGAGGATCGAACCCAGGGCCTCGCCTGCGCTAGGCTGCACTTTACCGCTGAGACACTACTCCAGCCCCTCATTTTGCCTTTTAACCCAGAAATCCCAATTGTAGGCAGCTGTTCCAAAATGCAAAATGACTTATGCACAATGTTATTCATTGTATTATTATTTGTAATAGCAACAGACTGGGAACAATCCAAATAACCACAACTACTAGAACTAGTGGAATAAACTGGTGAATCCACATAATGAAACACACTATGCAACTGTGAAAAAATAAGGGCCATCTCTTTACATGATGTATAGTGGTCTGCAGGATATACAATAGTTTTTAAAAAATTCAGAAAGTATGGTATGCTTTTTTGGTGAGATAGTTGAACTCTGAATATATATTTACATATATTTGGGGCAGGAAGAACCAGAGGAGATCAACATGGAAGCTTGATCACTCTGAATAAACCAGACCTATATAGTTTTGATTTTTTAGGATCATATGTATGTATGTATATATCATGTTCAAAATAATTTTAAATCCAAAAGAAAACTGCAGTTTCTAAAAGTTGAAAATAAACTGAAGCAAATGATCTAACTGTATATTAAGTTGGTGGTAAAACCACATCAAGTAAATGATAAAAAACAGTGTTTTCACAGTACATTCACAATGGAATATATTCTTAGGATAAATCTTAAGTTTTATTCAATAGTATTATTGCTAGTAGAAATATACAGGCTATTATTTTCAAACTATTAGTGTATATTATAGGTACACAATATAAGGCTTATTAGGAACAATGATTCCATAATAGAATATATGTAATATTAAATTTGAATTAGAAATAGTGTGATCTCAGGATCTTATTATTTTCTTTGTATAGCCTTTATGGAAATCAGTATGGTGATTTCTCAAAAAACTAAAAATAGAACTATCATATAATCTACCTACACCACTCCTTGATATTTATCCAGAAGAATTAAAGTTAGCACACTGTAGATAAACATAAGTATTCACATTTACTATGGCACAACTCATACTAGCCAAGTTATAAAATCAGCCTAGGTGTCTAAAAACACATGAATGGATAAAGAAAATGTGGTATAGATACACATGGAGTATTATTCAGACATAAAGAAGAATGAAATTGTACCATGTGCAGAAAAATGAATGGAACTAGAGACCATTGTGTTAAGCAAAGTAAGTCAAGCTCATAAAAACAAGTACCATATTTTTCTCTCATATGTAGAAGCTAGAAGCAGGGGAAAAGACATCATGAATAAGGAAGACCATTAGAGGAAGAGAAACAGAGGAAGGAGAAGAGAAGGGTCAAGGGAAATATTGTTTTATGCATGTACAAATATGCCAACAATGAAACCCTCTATTCTGTATAATTAATATGCACCAATAAAAATGCTTCTTATTAACAAGGAAAGTTTTACATTCATTTTTTAAAAAGAAGCATTTGCTTGTTTTGTCACTTGAAAAGACCCACAGGTAATAACAATTTTATAGTAATAAGAATCTTTAGCAACAACAACAAAAAAAAAACTTTTTTTGTGTGGTACTGAGGATTGAAACCAGGATCACTGAGCTACAGACCTTCTATTTTTTATTTTAAGATGGGATTT